ATAAATAAATAAATACTTCTAGGTTTGGTTTAGTTTGCCAACGTTACCTCCCTTAAACCAAACTTTCCATTAAGACAGGTCCAACACCATTTTGAGCAACAATCTCTATACAAATCTTTGTCGCAATATCGCTGAGATGCAACTCCATCTTGTTATGAATTATTAGCTTCATCTTTACACGTGGCATCAGATGCACTTTGTATTATGCAAACAATTTCTCAGCAATTTTTCCTTGGTTAAAGTACTCACTTATACAATTTCATTCATTACTAGAATCACCATACTTACCACCAATGTAAGTGTCAAAAAATAAAAAATCATAGATTACTTTCTTGCCATAATTATCATCACCAAATAATTCAAAATAACCACTACCACAATCATAAAAAATTTTCATACTGTCAATCAACTCTTTTGGAGCAAAATATTTTTGAACTCTGATGAAATTCGTATCTATCAAATCAAAGATCTTTCCATCATCTTGAAGAGAGTTTGAACCAATAAAATTTTTAACAATTGTTTTTTCTTCATATACCAAATCAGGCTTTTCTTTTTCCTTTATCAAATTATCACATTATTTTTCTTTAATAAATTCATCACTCCCAATATCTCTAAATAAGGTATGCAAATCAAAACTATCAACTGATTCAATATTTTCAATATCACTCATATCATCAAAAAATCTATCATTCTCAAAATCCACAAATCAATACCAACAACCAAACTTCAATTTGAAAGCATAATTTCTCTCAATTGTCTGCAAAACACAATAAATATCTTTCCAAAATCTCTAAGGTATTTAGTACGAAGAACAAAAAGTTTTGTAGATACTTCCTGCCCTTGTTTTACACATCACTTGAAAGAATAATTGTGTCTTTTTCTTGAAAACATGTTTTGGCAACTAACTTGCATCAACCCAACAAAGAATATTATCCAAATTACATTGTTTGAAATATTTGTTCACTGTTAAAATCCAGCCAAAGTATGTATGTCAATTTGTGCTTATAGGATTCAATATGAAAAATTTTTCACCATCAATCACATTTCTATAATATTTTACCGTTATATAATAATTCATATACCTGAATAAATTTTTCTCTCCCTTTTGTCAAGTTTCCTGGCCTCCCTGATTGATTGACCAATTAAATCCTTCAAGTTGACAATTTGTAGCAATCAACAAATTTGACAGGATTCCTTTCCAATCTCTGTCATCACACTTGCAACAATCTAACAATTTTTGGACCAATCTTACGGTTGAATTATTCACCAACTACACCAAACTTTATGGTCTAACTCGATTAACTGAATATTTTTTGGCAACATTGTGTCCTAATTCTCTGACAGCGGAAATGCCCAGGACTAACGTCGTAGTCTGGCACTTCATACCAATTGTAAAATCCAAATTTTATGGTTTTAATAATAATCACTGTGTGCAGGGTTACAGAATTGAAAGGATAAAACAAACATTCAAAATATATGTAGACGAGAAGAAAATAATAAACTCAACTCACAATATTATTGAAATCTCAAATAATGAAGAAAGTCACACCATAATAGAAAATCTAAAAACTCTTCTATACTCTTTGGGCTCTACAATAGTCACTGCATGCAGGATAATAGAATTAAAAGGATAAAACAAACACTCAAAATATATATGGGAAAGAAGAAAATAATAAACTCAATTCACAATATTATTAAAATTTCAAATAATGAAAAAAGTCACACCACAATAGAAAATCTGAAAAACTCTTCTAGACTCTCTCTAGAAAATACCTTAAATAGTGTTCTATTTATAATCTACTAGACTTGTTAGGACTTGCATAGGAAATTATCAAATAAAATACAAATTTCTAAATTACACAACTACTAAAACTCTAACTCCAATAAAACTAATAAATAAATATTTCTAGACTTGGTTTAGTTTGCCAACATTTCCTAAACCTCTCTTCCCTATTTATATGCTAAAATTGTGAAAATAGTGATATATCGTTTCTTTGGTTTAAATCTCTGCCCCTGAATGCATCTTGAAATTTCAATCTATGACTGGTTTTGAATTATTTTAGATTTCTACAAAATTTTGGCCTGATTATTTCTGAAAAAATATATTCAATCTTTGTTATGCCCAAAATCTGTTTGATAAAATGTAACAAAAAATATATTCAATCATCATTATGCCCAAAATCTATATGAAATTCTTACAAAATATATTCAATCTTTATGAAAGAGGAGTTTGGGCTCTTCAATTGTTTTTTAGCTAAAGGGAGGAACTCCGGCCTGTCCAACGCCATCCACAGCCCGTGAGTTCAGCAGTCAAGTGAGAGAGATTTGACCAAGTTTTGGATTTGGATTTTTCATTTTGCTTTTGCTGTTCTTCTCTTACTTTATGTGAATTTTAGTGTGGGTGCTGTGTGCTGGCTGGAAATGCAGTTTTCGTTCCCAACGAATTCCCTGTGAAGAAGAAAATGTCCCATCCAAGCAATCCATTGAGGCTCACTTCGCTTGGAGAAGATGACATATTTATGGAATTGTACCATAAGTCCCTCATTTTTCTCTTTTTTGGTAATTAACCATTGGGTTTTAGGTTTTGTTATTTGACCCCAGAATTTTATTATAGGTGTTTTCAGTTAGGTCCTTAGCCATTATCTAGTTAACTTTTAGCTTAATTAGAATTTAGGTAGGTTCTTGTATTTTTATTCTTTTGTCCTCTTCCTTTATTTTCTTTTATTTTTCACCTTAATTACTTATATTATCATGCAATGTGTTCAAGTAGGTCAAAAGTACATTATTCATTGGCTTTTCCAATGAAAGTCTGGGAATTTATTATTTTACTTTATTTCACTTTTAAGTTTCAAGCATGTTTTTTTACATGTTTAGATGCTAATTAAATGCATGTTATTTGTCTACAATAGATTAATACATTTTCTGTCTCAAAATTAAAAGAATAAAATTAAACTTGCAACCGATTTTATGAGGTGTAAAGGATGGTTGAAGGTAAAACCTCAACCTTCCCTCCTCACAAATGTAGCTCTTCATTTTTCTAATTTCCAAAGACTTAGAGTTTTCTAATTAAAGGATTTTAATTTTCAAAATAAAAATTACTTTTTTATAGGTGAAACGATACGCATAAATTCAACTCAATATTGAATGGTGTCTTCAAATTTTTCAAAAATCCTTTTCCTAGACCCTTTTTTATGTTTTTACACCACATTACTACTTGTTTACATTTTGCACTATCTAAATTTGTTTACACCATACCTCCACTTATTTACAAATAAGGTGTATTTCTTGGATTTTTGACCAAATATTGTATTAATTGGTAGGTTCTACTCATGTGTGATAAATGGTGCTTATTGTAGGAATGTGGAGTAAAAAGAGGTTAAAGGGCGATTTTCTAGAAGGCCTATGCACAGTTTAGTGTGGGAGCATTTAAGTTCTACTTTCAAGTCCAAAAAGCTAGGGATTTTCCTGCACATAGAAGTTTCCTAATTCAAGTCGAATTCCTGAACGGACGATTTGCTGAAGATTGGGTGGATTTCTTCCCGTATTAGATAGAGTATTCAATTAGTAAATAATAGACATTATCTTTTAAGGATTTCCTTTTCCAATTAGGAAGTATATCTTATCTCAATAGCAATAAATTAGGAGATTTGTGAGGAATAAGGGCGGCCGGCTATTGATTCTTTACTTCCAAGCAAGAAACAAATATCTATCTTTCTTTTCTTTTGTGAGAGGGACGAGATGGCTTTGTAATACTCCATCTTCTGCATTGGAAGTTTTCTACATGATCAACAACTAATTTTCTTTTCCAATCAAAAGTCAACTTGAAGATACGGTTCCAAACATCTGTGTGATCAAATTGATTTATAATTGTTTCTTTTAATTAATTGATATTCATATGTTTTCTAATTTAATTTCTTATGATTGTTTTGTTGTTTGAATGCCAAGGGGCCTGAAATTCTAAATAACCTAATAATTGACTACCATATTAACTAGTTAAATCCATCATTGTTTGATTAGTTAATACTAATGGTAACTAGCATGATTAGTTTCATGTTAGAGAAACATATGATCTAAATTAGACAAACTCTTATAGCGTGTTTGTTGGTTCGGGTTGGGATTTTCTAGTTTATAATGCAATAAAAAAAGTAAATTCTATGGTTGTACTTAGGATTATTTTTTGGTTAAGAAAATAGTTAATGGTTGTATTGTGCCTATCAATAAAGTAAGGAAAAGTTAGCTGTGAGAGTTTGTTGATGATTATAACTAATCTATTAATGAGTAATTGAACTATTTTTACATCGATGATCAGTTGTGTGAACCATATCTAAAAAGTTGTACCTTTGGCTAGAATCTTGTTTATTATTGATTTAATTCCTATTTCTTTCCATGAATTGCTTTTATAATTAGTTAATTAGCTATTTTTAATTTTTTTAAAAATCCCCTCATAATTATTACTCTAAATAAAAGAAAATTTCTCTTTAATCCCTAGGGGTGTGCAAAGTCGAAAAATTTCGATTTCGAGACTGATTTCGAATTGAATTCAGAATTTTGAATTCGAATTTCGGTAATTCGGAACTGAAATCGGTATTTCCGATTTCGAATTAGTTGAAATCGGGTCGAATTTGAAAATATATTTTTTGAAATTGGAATTACTGAATTCAAACTGGGGAATTCGAAATCAAAAATGGTATTTCGATTTTGAATAATAATATTTATATATAATATAATAGTTTTTATTTTTCAACAATACATATATAATATATATTATATAACATAATAAGTTAATAACGATATATCTAATAATTGAAATTGCAAAAACCCTAATCTGTTAACACTTTTGTATTCTTCAGCCGCCTCTTCCTCATCGTCTCTCATCTTCCTTCCTGTACCACCACCACCTCCACCACCTGACTCTATCTCACCTTCAAGCCATCTTCACGCCCTCCTCCGCCTTCCTCCGCCACCATCGTCTCTCACCTTCAAGCCCGACAGACATCTTTATGCCATCTTCACTCTTCATCTTCAAGCCATCGTTAGCCTTCATCTTCAAGCCTGGAGTGAGGGGAATATTGTCGGACCTGACGTGTGATAGTGATGGGAAGGTCGACAAGTTTATTGGAGGTGAGTCAAGCTTGCCCCCCCATGAATTGCAAGGCATTGGTGGTAGTGGTGGGGGATACAATTTGGAAATGTTCTTAGGTGGGGCTTATGAGGAGGCGCTTGGAGGATTCCATAACCTGTTTGGCGGCCCTAGCGTCGTACGTGTGTCCCAGAGTGATGGCCCTCACAGCTTTGCTATGACGTGTGCCGTCCCTGGAGTGGCATGCAGGGATGTTCTCCGGGTGATGTAGTTGGACAAATTGAGGTACGCGTCCCCTTTTTGTTTCTACATCAAACTCTTCCGCCCCTTTTTTTTCTTTTCTGGGTTGCTGGAGCTTGGAGGTGTCGACTATGTAGGAATCACCAAGGTTGTAATTAGAAAACAAACAATTCAAGCAAGGATAGTGGTACTGCTGTTTGAATGTTGGGCTGACATCATAGTAATCTTGATAGTTTTCAGATAGACGGCAACAATTAGTGGAAGATGCATCTGTTGTTTCATAGGGACTGGATGTTTCATGTTTGTGGATGGTATACTTATGCAAATAGGGACAAATATGCCTGTGGTGAGCAGAAGAGGTTTTTTCGTTTTTTAACAAAAGAGGGGAAAAAAGGGAATTTGGTGGATTTCGGAATCCACCGAATTCCGAATTCAATTCGGTAACGAATTCGAAATCAGAATTGACCATTTCGAAATCGAATTCAGTCGGAAAAAATTAAATTCCGATTTCAAATTTCTGATTTACTGATTTTGATTTCGATGCACAGCCCTATTAATCCCTGTGAAGACGTCCCTAGTTTCTACTATATACAAAATTAATATTTTTTTGAGTAGGACTTCTATTATTGAACAGATTCGACATCTACAATTTGTGGCGCCGTTGCTTGGGATTGGTGTTAGTTTATTTGTTTCTATTTAAGTTCATTTTATTTTATTTTCTAATATTTTTTCTATTTTATGCCTCGTTCTTCTCGTACAGATGAATTAATCTTTGATCCTGCAATTGAGAAGATAGTGCATAGGCTACGAAAAGAGACTAGAAAACACAAATAGGAGCAATCGTTTACTGAATCCCCAAGGTTTAATTTGGCGATTGAGTTGGTGAATTCTTGAAGTGATTACTTGAGTGATTTAGAAGGAGAAGCAATCACCATGACCAATAATTGGACACTGAAGGAGTTGGCTGCTCTTGGCTTAAATTACAGCCAATATGTATCACTTTTCCAAATTTAGATGAAAATACTTCTTTTGAGTTAAAAGTTGACTTAATTCACCTCTTACCTTCTTTTCATGGTCTTCCAAATGAGAAGCCCCACAAACACTTGCAAGATTTTGAAGTAGTATGTTCAAGTATGAATCCTCTTAGAGTTATTGAAGAACAGATAAAGATGAGGGCATTTCCCTTCTCCCTCAAGGATTTTGCAAAATACTGGTTGTACTATTTGCCCGCTGGAAGTATCACAACCTGGACGGAGTTGAAGAAGAATTTTTTAGCAAAGTATTTCCCTACCTCTCAGGCCACAAGTTTGAGAAAGGAGATATGCGGAATCTAACAACAATGTGGGGAATCCTTCTATGAGTACTGGGAATGATTCAATAAATTGTGCACCAGATGTCCACAATATCAGATAAGCGATCAATTGCTGATCCAATACTTTTAGAAAGGGCTTCATCTATCTAACCGAAACATCATTGACACTGCAAGTGGTGGAGCACTGGTGAATAAGACCCCAAGAGAGGCATGGGACTTGATCGAAAAAATGGCAAAATTTCATAATAATTTGGTTTTTGCAATAACATTCTTATTCGTACAGTGAATGAGTTAGATACTTCATCTATTCAATAGCAATTATCTGAAATCACCCCTTTTGTGCAACAATGGGATGTAGGGAATTCGCAACAAGCCAAGGTGTGTGGGGTTTACACAAATATAGGTCATTCTGTGGATATGTGTCCAATGTTTCAAGAGGAGGGTGTCGAATAAGTAAATATGGCTGGTAATGTGCACGTGCCACGCAGGCAATATGATCCATACTTCAATACCAATAATCCGGGTTGGAGGGATCATTTGAACCTTAGTTATGAAGGAAATAGGCAACCAAATTTTTTTCAAAAGTCTCAATACCAACCAAATTCTCAAGTTCTCAACCTGTGTCTTTTAATTTAGGCAACTCTTTAAAAGATATTATTAAAACATTAGCCTCTAACACTTTACAATTTCAACAGGAGACGAGGTCAAGCATACATAATTTAGAAAATCAAGTGAGTCAATTGGCAACTATGGTAAATCACCTAGAAGCCAAAATGGACCAAAGGCTACCATCACAACCTGAGGTGAACCCCAAGAACGTGAGTGCTATGATCCTTAGGAGTGGCAAAGAGATAGATGGACCCAAGTTGATCAATCCAAAGATTAAGAGTGCAGATCAGATTAAAAAGGAGATTAAAGAAGAAGGACAGAAGAATACAAGCCCTAAGGTAATTTCTAATCCTGTGATTCAAGTTAAATCTAATTAACCCATCTCCTTTTCCTAGAAAGCTAGAGAAATTGAAGAAGTAAGACAAAGAAAGGGAGATTTTAGAAGTGTTTCGGAAGGTGACAATCAATATTCTTTGTTGGACATGACCAAATAAGTGCCAAAATACGCTAAATTTTTGAAGAACTTGTGCGTTAACAAGAAGGAATTGAGAGGGAGTGTGCAAATTGTGGTAGGTGAGAATATCTTAGTGATTTTACAAGGAAAATTACTACTTAAATGCAGGGATCCATGTATGTTTACTATTCCTCTTAAGATGAGAAATTCTAGAATAAGAAATGCCATACTAGATTTAAGGGTTTCTATTAATATGATGCCCAAACCTATTTATGATTCCCTAAATCTATAACCTTTGAAAGAAACATGGGTAATAATTCAATTAGTTGATCGTACATATGCTTATCTGGATAGGGTAATTGCAAATGTTTTAGTTCAAGTAGATAGATTAGTTTTTCTAGCTGGTTTTTATGTGCTTTGCATGGAAGATGCTAACTCTTCAAATCCATCATCTTTTATATTAGAAAGACCATTATTGAGTACTGCCCAAACTAAAATTGATGTTAGTAAGGGTACACTTACGATAGAATTTGATAGAAAAGTAGTTATTTTAATATTTTTTGATAAAATGAAACATTCCAATGACTCTCATTCAGTGTTCGCAGTTAATGTTATCAATCCCATTGTGCAAGAATTTCCTAAGTTTAATTGCAGGGGTTAGTTGAATGTTGCTGCAAACAAGCATCATGGGTTGAAAGGAACTTATGACGTGGAAGCGGGCAGAATGTTTATGCTAGTATGATTTGCTATGAAATGCTACTCTCTTGATTGTACATCTAAGTTTGGATATGCTTGAGAACACGTATAGTTTAGGTGTGGAGGAGATTGATAGGGTGTCTTTTGTTAGTAAATTTGTGAATATTTTTTCCTCAAATATTGACCAAATATTGTATTAATTGATAGATTCTACTAATATTTGATAAATGGTACAAATTGTGGAAATGTAGAGCAAAAAGATGTTAAAGGGCGATTTTTCCTGAAGACCTATGCATAGTTTGGCGTGGGCGCATCTAAATCTTGCTGTCAAGTGCGGAACGCTCGGGATTTTCCTATGCATAGAAGTTTCCTAATCAAATCGAATACCGAGCGAACGTTTTGGTGAAGATTGGGTGGCTTTCTTCCCTTATTAGATAGAGTATTCAATTAGTAAACAATAGACATTATCTTTTTAGCATTTCCTTTTCCAAATAGGAAGTATATTTTATCTCAATAGCTATAATTAGGAGATTTGCGAGGAATAAGGATGGCTGGCTATTGACTCTTTACTTCCAAGCAAGAAACAAATATCTATCTTTCTTTTCTTTTGTGAGAGGATGAGACAGCTTTGTAATACTCCATCTTTTGCATTGGAAGTTTTGTACATGATGTACAACTAATTTTCTTTTCTAGTCAAAGGTTAACTTGAACACGCGGTTTCAAACATTTGTAAAATCGAATTGATTTTTAATTATTTCTTTTAATTCATTGATATTCATAAGTTTTCTGATTTAATTTCTTACGATTCTTTTGTTATTTGAATGTCAAGAACCCAATATTAGAATTAACCTAATAATCTACTTCCATACTAACCAGTTAAATTCGTAATTGTTTGATTGGTTAATATTAGTAGTAATTAGAGTAATTTGTTTCATGTTAGGAAAACATATGATCTAAGTTAAACAAACCCTTGTCGCGTGTTTGTTGATTAGGGTTGGATATTTCTATTTTTAAATGCAATCGAGAAATTAAATTCTACGGTCGTACCTAAAATTATTTCTTGATTAGGAAAATAGTTAATAATCGTACTTTGACTATTGATAAAGTAAGGAAAAGTTGACTGTCAAAACTTGTTGATGGATATAACCAATCTATTAATGAATAATTGAACTATTCTTGCATCCATAATCAGTTGTGTAAACCGTTTATGAAAAGTTGCATCTTTGGCTAGGATCATGTTATTATTGATTTAATTCCTATTTATTTCTATGAATTGCTTTTATAATTAGTTAATTAGTTATTTTCAAAATTTTCAAAAATCCCCTCGTAATTATTACTCTAAAAAGAGTTAAATTTCTCCTCAATCCCTATGAAGATGACCCTACTAATTGCTATATACAAAATTAATGTTTTCTCGAGTAGGACTTCTATTGTTGAATAGATTCGACACCATTTACACCTTAAGGGCAAACTGATTTGAATTAGAACTTGTAAGCCCCTCGTTCTAAGGGATTCTGTAATTGTCAGTCAATTGCGTGCGTGGAAGGTGATTAAGCATATACAAATGCATTGAATTCCAGATTGTATTAGTCCAAAGACTTTCGTATTGAACGAGTCAATGACTTGTCTAGTACTTCACGATGATTCGTAAGACTTTCGCAGTGAACGAGTCAATGAATGGTCTAGTACTTACACGCTGATTCGTAAGATGCTGAAAACCAAGGCATTGTCTGGATTGTGATTTTTCATAGAAAAATTTTATATTTTTTATAAATATATTTTTTAATCATCTTTTTATTTTACATATATCAAATCGTACAATATATTTTTCTATAAAAATTTCCAAATACCAAGCTTGTTAGGTAACTATCCTGGTACAATGTAATGAGTCTGAGTTGTGTTTTTCATGGTACTAAAGAAGCATTAGATATTTACATACTGTGCCTCTTTTATATCTAGT